ACCGAAGTGGGGTTGCACAGAAAAATGTTCGAACGCAAACCCAAGAAAGCAATGAGAGGAGAAGACAAAAAAAATACAAAAACAATATATATCGAGAAAGAGAGAAAAACAAAATAACTGAAATAACCGCGCCGACGGCGAAGTGAAAACTACTGTATCAAATTTTACTTTTCGTTTATTATTTGGTCAGTCCGAATGGTTCTCAGAATGAACGATTTTTTGTTTCGGGTTTCGAGGAGGAAGTCGTAAGCGTGAAATGGGGAACGCGGAGAAAAGAACAAAAAAAGAGGAGCATTAAAACGAGACGAAATTTTTTCACCGCATTCTTGACAATGGGCAGCTACCCATCGAGATCAAAGTAATTGTTTCTCTTTGGTTCCGATCGCAACTGAACTAGATGGTTCGGTGAATGGTCTCTCCGTTAGGTCGTTCATCGATTTTCTCATGACTTTACTTGATATTCGCATCATTCCATGTGTAAGTCAGTTGTGGTTCAGAGTTTAAATGTAAGTAGTATATTTGCAAGATATTTTGGACATATCTTTTTTTTATATTCAAAATCAACTCTCAAATACAAAAGTAATAATTATTAATTATTAAATTGTATTGTCATTAATATAAATTACATGTAAAATAGACATTTCAGTTATTCATCAAATTACTTAACAAATTCTCAACATTACTAGACAAAAAAACATTTTTTATCGTCCATAAATAATACATAAATATTATATTTTCTTAACTATTAACCAAAGTATATCAAATAATAAGTAGAAAATATATCAATAACTTTAATTGATTTTTCTAAGTTGTCCTATTGCGTCATCTTATTGATTAATAATTTATATTCAATTTAAATACATCCAAGAATATCGATTATTTCAAATAATTAAGTAAAAGAAAAACTAATAAATGACTTTTTGATAAAAAAAACTGAATATTCTAAGTACAAATTTAAAATTTAACATTTTCATTTTTTTTATATAACATTATATAAGAATCAATACAAAAGAAAAAAAAGTACATTCTATAAATAAATAAATGATAATAATAAAAACTAAAAAATTATAAGAACTCTCAAAATAAATAAATTCTAAAATAAAATAAAAAAAAAATTAATAGGCTGGCCAAAGGGCTATCGACCGAAGTCTTTCCGCCCTAAGAATTATTTTTTGGTTTTGTTATTAAGTTAAGAAATAAATGTCAAATATTTGTTATTGCAAATATTCGTTGGTTGTAAATTTCATTTTTTCATATAAATTTACAAATTGATTCGATTATAAGCGTTTTTGTGTATTTTCAAAGATATAATTAACTGGTCATTTATTTAATCACTGAAATTACGACAGCGAATATTGATCGTTGAAAATAAATGGAAACTTAATTATTGTTACATTATCGATCATAAACTGCTAGATAAGTTTCGTTTTATTTATATTGTTTTAAGGACATTTTTTTAGAATTATTTTAACTTCAGAAACCAAATCTTGTAAAATATAACATTGCACAAGAATTATGCTGTAATAAGATACAGTGATACAGTGTTCTTTGAAAGTTTGAGTATTGTCAATATCTGCTTATTTTGTATAGTAGTAAATTAAGAAAATAGGGATAAGTTAGAAAATAGGCCAAACTGAGAGTAGGCAATTGTAATGGTTAAATAATTGAATATTGTCCCCTATTAGAGGCGGATTTGCGAGTTAAAATGCTGTCATCTCCATGATTGGCGATTAAGCAATTTAGTTGAGCATCGGAATTGCGACAACGATCGCAATTTGCGTAACTGCAGGTCTGTTGGTGAGGGACAGGCAATTGGTTTAATCGACTGCGAAAACATGTGCACAATTCAACGTGATCCGCTCGTCAATTCCTTATAATCACCATCATAATCAAATGCCTGAAAGGAAGACGGTATGGACGCAAACAAACCATAAACAGCCAACAACCCACCACCCATTGGGAGGAGAAGGGGAATGAGGATGGGTCCCCGAATGACGAACGCAAACGTTGGCTATTCATTTAGAACAGGGGTTGGTGTGGGGGTAGCAGGGATGTTCCGAACTAGGTCAAACGTGGGACGAAAAACGTGAATGGTAACGTGCGTCAACGTTCCATCCGTGTGCGTTACCATTGTTACCATCATATGTGAGATGCAATGTAATCGATTACGTACCCGTGCATAAAGCATAATGATATCCTGTATAGCAGGAAAGGATAGGAGCAAATTGAGGGAATTTCAAGGAATTGGAGGCGCGTGCCTCATGATTGCGTTCACATCGCGCGGTATGCCGATTGTCGCGCGACGCGATCTGGCGGCACGGCCGAGAGTCGCCGTCCGCTTACGTAACGGCGGCGTATGGTGGCGCCCCCGCGCCTCGACGGAGGCGGCGGTAGCGACGTCCGGCGTCGCGACGCTTGCCGTGCCGTATCGTGTCGCGTGTCGCGTCATCAGCTGCAGCAAAATCGTCCACGCAAACTCGTCCGATGTAATCTGTGTGGAGCAAAAAAAAGAGGAAGTTGCGCATGTCAGCGGGATCCGAGAAGGGTTATGGCGTTAGAGTAGTACGGGATATATGACATAACGGGTGGCTAACAAAAGTACATTGGTTGGTCGGGATAACTAAATGGGTGAATTTACTTTAAGTGGCTGCCCGAACATTATTTCCTCATTGAGTGCAGTGGACATATCGGTGAACGCCGGCAATACTAGTTCCAATCTAATTTATTTCACCACACCTAAGCGAAGTGAATCCCGTTCAACAAATATGCAAGATGAATTTGTCGACAAAACAGCTGTTGTTGCTGTATGTTGCTGTGCACCTGACGGATCCGAGGACACCGTCGACAAGAAGGAGGACGGAAGCGTCGCAGGTGATATGCAGGAAACATCCAAGTGCGACGGACAGGCTATAAAGACCACCGGACCCGCGGCATTGTTCCAGCCCGATCAGACCAGTACACCTGATCCGAGTACCCTCTGGTCGACGGGTATCGAGGAGGCCTTCGTACCGAACCTACCAAATGTGAATAGTAGTTTAGGTTTTCAAAATTTCTCTCCACCACAACAGCAGCAACAACAGCAGCAGCAACAACAACAACCACAATCGCAGCAGCAACAACCGCAGCAGCAGCAACAACAACAAGCCCATCTCTTCAACCAGAACCAAGGAAGGCGCGCGATTACAGCAAGCCACAACTTCCCGCATAACATAACACGTCCGCAGCCCTTGTACAAGAACTACGGCACATGGGGCAATCCTGGACAGAGCTGGTCGACGAACACGTCGGTATGGAACCGGGGCCGGAGCGTACCAAACCTGACTCCACTACAGCAGATGGGAGTCGCGAACAGAAAACCAAGTCCTACATTCAACCAGCAGCAGCAAGTCATCTCTCCCGTCAAGTTTAGGAGAAGTACTTCCTATCCTGGCAAGGGGCCCTTTCCACAGCCACCCACCTTCGAAATCACTAATATGGATGAAACCCGAGAACTCCATCCGTTTCAGGTAAAAACGTGTTGGCCACGCATTTGCACACCAATGATTTCAGCCTCATCACTCACGCCTCCTACGTTCAATGTATATGCAATTCTGCTCAGCTGACTTTGTACTCGTCACAATTTTGTTTTGTTTTATTTATTTATTTGTTGTCTTTATAATAATTGCACACCTAATTAATCCGCTTTATCGTTCCATAGTAATGCCAGAGGAGCTGGAACTAGTTCAGCGCGCGCAAAATTAGGCTAAACAATTGCTGCCTACGAAAATACGCTCAAAAGAGAACTGAAAATTTAACATATTAGGAGTGAGAAGAAGAGATGCCTCTTTATAGGTCACGGCTTTAATCAAATATACTCTGGCACTACTATACTATTTATTTATTGTTTTTCTTTTTTGTTTGTTGTTGTTGCTGTGTGTATGCATGTCTTAAAATTTCGTTGTTCTTTTTTATGTTTTTATTTATTAATTTGTTAATAAAGAATTTTCTTTATTTTTATTTTATTTATTTTTGTTATCATCATTGTTTTATCGTTGTTATTATTTTTTTTCTGTCCCGTAATTGTTGCACTTCTGTTATATATTGTTTCTGCATTCTGAACTAACTCGTGCTCTTCGGGAAGTGACGTCTTTTCGGGGACAGGTGAGGTGTCTGTTGGTAGTAGTAGTCACCAGAGAGCCACATCTGAACAGAAATAGCAGCTCTGGTCGCGGACACGCGAGTTAAATTTAAACATCTCTAGACTACTAACATTTTTCCAAGCACACACATCAACTCCTCAAGCCTCGCCATCAAAACAATTCGCATACTACGTTTCGAGAACCGGAAAACCCGCTCCTACCGACGCCCACATTCATCCTCTTGTGTACTTCTTCGCACACAATCCATCAAAGTTTTGTCCGCTGGTTATGGTAAGCGGCCATCGTCGTTGCGCAACCATCATCGGTCGTACACACATACACACGCACGCTTTCACCACGATTCGAAAATCGGTGATCTAATAATTCTCTGCCGCAGTTTCCAAAAGGAAATAAAAGCGAATTTTTCACGCTCGCTACGGGAACAAAAAAAAAACAGAAGTAACTAATAATTGAATAATGGATTAAATAAGAAATTTGAGGCAGTACAAATGAAACAAAAAAAATATGTAAAAGGAAATGAAATAAGAATGGAAGTTGCGAATGATTGACCGCTTCCTAGGTAGTTTGCTGAGCACTTGATCAATGAATTATATATTTCCGGGATCGTTGTGATTGGCTTTGGATGGCTGAATGTATGTTAATGTACTTAAATTGTAAGAAACTACCTAGTAAAATTTATTACTAGTTACTTTTGTTGATCTGCAAAATTTAAAGTAGTATTTAAAAGTAAGCAAGTAAGGTCATTGTCATACACTTGATTTTAGTTGAAATGAATTTAATTGAAGTTCAAGAATCATCCAAATGGTTCCTAAACTGTTGAATCATTTAAGGAATTCAATAAATGGAAGTATTCGTATTGTAGTAACCAACAAAATTGAAGTGGTAGAAGAATCTACTCAGAGGTATAAAGTTGAGGATATTGTTGCAGGAGAGGTGCGGTGTCGTGAATGCCAACGGCGGAAGCCCTCTGGAAACGATGAAGGGCTTCGAGCACATCCTCAATGACATCATGAGGACCCCGTCGGAACCCAGCGATCTTCGAGGTAAGTCGTAAGGTGTTTCGTAATCAGCGCGTTTTGCGTTCGGCTCGTAATAATAATCTAATTACACGCGTTGTTTGCTCTTCCACTATCTTCGACAAACAGACGGGCTAAAAAAGGTATCCAGATACCGTTTCGGTGTTTGCTCAAGTAACAGATACCACATAGCCTGGTACACCTCGGAATGGATGGTACGAGCGAGGAACGCGGTAATGCGATTGCCCTAAATAATTCGGGCAACGAGCACGGGAGAGAGCTGCATTTTAATTATCAAACCCATTCCAGATGGGATTATCAATCTTTGATAAGGGCTTTATTAAATACGACGCGCGCTCCGATCAATAACTTAAAGCGAGGAGAGGTGCGCGGCGCAAACGAAACAATTGTTTGCTTGTTCGATGCAATTCTGCAATTCGTGCCGTTAACGATGATCTACTTTGCTCTTTATTGTTACCGTCTGCTTTATTTTTATTTATTTATTTTTTTACAATTGATAAAATGGCAGCTTGCGCAAAACTCCTCAACGAATTTGGGTCACGATATAGTCTAAAGTTATTTTTGATATTCCTTCTAAGACCAAGATAATTACACCAAAATTGCTACAAATATCGTTTTTTTTTACATTATAAATAGCTCTTCGTCTCTTTATGATTAAATATGATAACTCAATAATTTGATTGAATATGTATTTTTTTTAATTAAATTCATGAATATTATTACTTTTAAAATATTTTCAGTAAAAAGTTGAAACTTATTATGTAATTTCAGAGCTAAAATTCAATGCACACACGCAATGTACCACCTTCTGAACATTTTTTAGAAAATGTACAGTAAAGAGGAATTATCATTTAATTTGGTTGGTATGACAAGTTGGAATTGAGAACTATAATATTTTGTAATCCAATTGATTTACTTTTGAATATAATTTCACTAATTTTAAATAAAATAATATTGTTTATTGTAATATTCACAAAAAGTACACAGAATTAAATACCTAATTATAATTCCAATCATAACAAACAAAATCCGTTATAAAGGGCTTAAAATAGATCTTTCCGCCCTTTTTTAATAAATTTATTATGAATAAGGCTATATCAAATAATAAAATATACTGTCGGGATTTTGATAGTGTCGTTATTTCGAATGTAGGGATTTTGATTGTCTGTTTTTCGGTTGTCGGGATTTCGATGCGTTTATTATTTCTTGTCTGTATTTATGAAGTTCTTTTTTAATTATAATTTTCAATTAAAAAAAAATAAAACAGATATGTAATTAAGTGAAATATGTCAAAACGATAATGAAATGTTTAGATTTACTTAAATAAATATAACCGTTTACATTGAATTGAGTTTTAACGAAGGATGTTCGAAAGATGTCAGAAAAGCAGTATATAAACGTTCATGATAATTGCCTCAACGGAATAAGTGGAACTATCCTGTGTTCTTTACCGAAAACCTATACTTTTTACCTAGTTAATACCCAGGACAGGGACTCATTCTAATTCATGTAAATTACACTTAATGAATCCGCTTGCCTCCATAATTAGGCTTCTGTTAATTGATTCCTATAACAAAAAATAGTAGAAAAATTACATAAAAATAACAGGATAAGAATAACAAAAAAAAACATGTACATACATATATATGTATATATAAATCACGTGAGGGCAAACCTAAATCCGTTTCCGGGGTTGGTGCACACGGGCTTCGGCCGAAATGCCACGAAACCTCTTTCCGTGCCAAAGCTGCGCCTTGGCCCGACGCCATCCGGAAACTTCTGCTCGGAAAAATTAAAAACTCATTACTTTCATCAGAGATTCGTCCACTTTAATCATCAACGATACGCATCTATACGCAACGTGACGCAATTAAATGTCTCCTAACGGCTGTTTAATAGGAGCGAAATAGTTCGGTAAAGAGAGGAAAATAATGGTTTCGGAAAGTCTCGCCTAAAGTCGACGCCTAAGGCTTTTCTTGCTCGGAAAATCAATATTTAATATATTCCAAATTGCACGCCGGTTTTTGTTTCCCCACGGCGTACCTACGCGAAGTAATATAGCTTTTTACATTATTCCTTCCTCTGTACGAATATTCAATCAATTCATTATTAATATAACCAGAGAGGAAAAAAGAAGATGAGGAGTTGAGAATATATACAAAACTGTTTACCGAACAAAGAACATAACAGTAAGGAAGTTTCTCGTTACAAAATAACATCGGTAAAAAAATACTTATAAAAAGTTGTCATTCCACTGAAAATGTAGAAAACTTTGCAAAATAATAACAATACATTTGTTTTTATAATATAAAATCTAAAGTACATAATACATTTTTAAAGTACGTCTTTAATTAAATACTGAAAGTTAATAAGACAAATTTACATATTTATTGGATATTGATCATATTTACCTATTTGCAATAAATTGAGTAATTTTCATTTTATGATTAAAAATACGTACTATATACGAAAATCTGATAGCTTTTCCCAGATTTTTATAATTAATTTTCCCGGGAAATTCAAAATAGAACAATGTATTCCCAACAAATAATGTAAATTTATCTAACTAATTATTATTTAATCAATAAATTGAAAGAGTTTCGTATATAAGACGCAGATTTTATTTATGCTCAGGAAATGGAAATTTTAAAATTAATTTTCACAATGTAACGAATTTTGATATAGTTTTACTTCATATATTCAAAAAAACATACATTAATTGTATATATTTAGTGATGACACTAAATTTATTTAAGAAACATCTATTCAAAGTATAAATTAGAATAAAGTATATGTATATTTTTATAACATCAATATTTTGAATTTTCTAAATAAAAATTTAATTAGAGGTAACTTTAAATTGAACTTGCGTGTTTTCCATTTAAAGAAATTTAGAAATTAATGAAAAGTTTAATGCTTTTATAAGATTATTATTTCGTTTATATCAAATGCTCGAACGAAATGAAACTTTTAACGAAAGGAAAGTAGTTTGTAAAGTAATTTAATGGACCGTATACAGGTTACATGAAATGTTCAAAGTTTCCCTACAATCGTGGAAATTATGTGCGACAAACACAGCATGTTAGAAAAGGTAACAAAATATACGTTTTTTTTATAATTGTGAGAATATTCGTCGAACAAAATACCAGTAAGTTAGTTGGAAATATACAGAAAACATGACACATGAGATTCCAATATACTTACGCACTGCGAAATATATATATTATAAAAATTAAATTATAAATTGCGAAATGTTACGTGCAGCAAATAAGGTTAGTGTGTAAAATACAAAGTTCAGCATGTGAATTGCATGGACGTCGGACACAAAGGAAATTAGGTCCTATCTAATGGAGCGAACGTTGATGCACTGACATCAACAACAAAAGCCCAATGTAAATGAAGAACAACTGGATTATATTTATAGCTCAGAAAAAAATATGCCTATCAAAGAGTTTTATTAAATTTCTATTTTTTCTATAAACCTTTTCACATTTTCATTGAAATTGACCAAAATACCTTTGATCCCAATTAAATCCTATCCTGTTTAAATTTATTGTCAGCTGCATGATTAATTGAAGTCAAATGATTCCTGATTTCTCTCATATATTTCCATACTATAATTTAACTATATTATTACATTAACAAAACATTTATAGTGCACTTTTAAGAAATAATCGCAATTTTTTTTAACGTGTTAATTGAGACTCCGTGTAACTGAAATACCGTGTTATTCGGGCATTTTAGTTTCGTTATCTACTTTTTGCAAAATATAAGTAACAATAAAGGAATTTTTCTATAATTCTGAATTGATAGTGGATTTTTTTTAAATTTTTCCAGTAAATACGTGAAAGGCTACTGTTACAATTAGAGATAAAATGTTTAGACAATCGATTGTTCACTCCATTTACTGATAAAATACTTAATCATATTGATTACATTCTTATTATTGTTTGTATAAAATTCGTAATAATTCGTAACAAAAAAAAATTGACAAAAATATTTTTTCAATTACATCTATCCTTAGTTTTACATGGTACTTTCTTTACACGTTTTCGCTTTTACACGGTTTAAAAAAAAATAATGTTGACTCAAAAAGTTACAATTTCAATTTACACAATTTATTGAAATTTTAGTAAATTATATAAATACAAAACTTAATAATTGTAGAAGTTGATATAATAAAGATAGAGAAGGAAACAATTTTATTTTATAATAATTTATTATGTCATAAAATTAAGTTCCACGAATTGGATAATAAAAATGGTCTGAATTTTCAATATAAAATATTTACAAGGCGAAAACGATTAGGGATCTGTTTTTCAGCGTATTATGGTAATTACAAAACACTGTTTCCGGTTCACGTGAAAGACCGTACATGCAAATAACAGCGTTGAGTTATAACTTTTTTTTTGTGTTATTGTTGTGAATATTCCTTTATTTTTTATATAATAAAATATACAAATTAAATTATAAAGTGAAAGTAGTTGACATGTTTTTCAAGTACTTTTAGCACGACATTAGAAATACTCGTTAAAATATTAAAATTAGTATAAGTATAGTCGATTCCGCTTAATTGGGATACCGGTTAATCGGGACAGCCGGTTGACAAATCCAAAAACTAACGAAATAACACAAATTTACTCTGCTTTTTCGGGACAATATATCGTTTAATCGTGAGATACATATTTATTGTTTCAGAATTTATATCATTTTCTATTATGTATAGTTTTATGACTTGTTTTATTTTGTGCAATTTATTAAATCAAATATTAAAAACTTTAATTTTAGTGGAACTTCGGATAATTGGGACAGCTGCTTAATCGGGACAATGTATTAGTCCCAATGTATCCCGATTGAACGGAATCGACTGTACTCGTTCATAAGCTTAGAGAAACATAACTATTATAAAAAACTTTAGGAAATAGGTTAATTTTAAGAATTTATGTCTATTTAAATGAAACTAATATACAAATATTAATTGCAATGTAAATGTTAATTTAAAAAAA